AATATTATAAACTGAGAATGTTCTCAATTTCAAAATAGAGAATAATTTCAATATATAATTATCAAAACTGAGAAATTTCTCAATTTTTTTTTTCTAGTATGAATTGAGAATATTATCAGTTTTGAGAAATTTATCAATTTCTTTCATGATTAAAATTGAGAAATTTCTCAATTTTGAATATTATAAATTGAGAATGATCTCAATTTCAAAACAGAGAATAATTTCAGTTTATAATTATCAAAACTAAGAAATTTATCAAATTTTTTTCTAGTATTAACTGAGAATATTATCAATTTTTTGAAAATTTTTTCAATTTTTTTCATGATTAAAATTGAGAATATTATCAATCTACTCTCTATTTCTTACATTTATCTTCCCCTCCTCCTTCTACACTTTCCAGATCTGGAAATCTCCTAATCTAGTTCTACATTTGGTTCGAGATGAGCATGACTGGGATCACAATGGTGAGAGGCAATGATGGAGACGATGAGAGGCGACAATGGAACACGAAGAGTGAAGAAATAGTGCGACTCATCGAGCTTCACATTAGCTTTATCTTTCGCTAATGGCCATTGAATTTCATCGTCGATGCGGACGAGAACGGCGACGGCGTTTCCGCCTTGCAAGAGACGAACGATTGTGAGCTCGCCGCAAGCAAGCTCGACGCTCTGTTCTTTGTCTACGAGATGGATGATTGTGCTTGGAACCCTGAGAAGACATGGTGATTGAGAACTTTATTTGCTATGGAGTTTTGAGAGAGAGAGAGAGAGTCTATCTGAAATTACAAAAAAAAAAGAGAGAAAACAAATGAGAGAGAAGGGGATGTTTGGTTGTTGTTGTTGTTGGGGAGTGGGTGTAAAAGTAAGAGAGAGAGAGAATGAAGACATCAATGGATATTTGGCAGCGATAGAGGAGGTCTTGGAAGGGTAAATTGGTTTATTAAAAATTAATAGGACGTAAAGGAGCAAATAATTTTATCTAGGACTTAATGAATTATAAGTTCACAAAATGAGACTTCTATGTGAATGCCCCTATTTTTTTTTTCTAAGAGCTAACATTTGTTCAATTTTGGACAGAAAATACACATGATAGTTGAAAATTCTAGAAATCCCCTATATATTGATTTATGATTATGTATCAATTTTAAGCAGTAAATAACAATCCTAATCAAATAATTAAGACAAATTGACACAACGATTTTAACGTAGAAAAATAACAATTGGAGCGCCTCCAATTGTGATAAAAAAACCACGGGCCAAAGTCACAAAACAATTCACTAAGAAGACAAAAGGAATTACACAAGTGCATTCTTAATTACCTAGCGAATGCACACTCGAATTGAACTGACCCCTATATGCCTCTTCCGCCACGGTCTTCACCTCGGAATTGTCTTGCCTAACATTGAATCCAAAATATCG